AGTGGCGCTGTGGCTCAAGTGGTAGAGCGCTAGCCTTGAGCTGAAGAGCTGAGGGACAGTGCCCAGGCCCAGAGTTCAGGCCCTATGACCGGACCAAAAAAAAAAAAATCAAGTGTTCTCAGTCAGTAGTTATATGAATTTCTGACATTTGAGATGAATGGTGACAAACCATTCCTACCCAGTGATGCTGACTACTTACGTCAACAGACAGGTCCAGGAGCTGCGCCATCCTCTTCATTGTTATCCGTGTGTAGTACTTGGCCATTATCCTAATATTCTGGGGAGACAGAGGGCAGGGGACACCAGAACAGCTGTCAGGAAGCGTGGCAGCCATCTGTTCTCACGTGCAGGGACACTTACTCACAATATCAAACTCAGAGCTTTTGCCTGTCTTTGGCCCACCACTGGAGGGAAGCTGATCAAACTCAGAGCTCTTGCCCGTCTTTGGCCCACCACTGGAGGGAAGCTGGTTCTAAACCTCAACAGCAACACTTGAACACTGGGAGAGTTTCTGGAATCATTTGACATTTTATACAACTTTTTACACAATGTTTTAAGTATATAGCCAAAATATATGTTTGCTTTAACTATGTGGTAAAAATAACTATAATATTTCTTCTAATCCAAGAATCAAAGTTAAACTTTTCTAATTATGAGCCAAATGTCTGAAAGGCTAAAACTCAAAAAAAAAAAAAAAAAAGGAAAAAAGAAAAAAAGATCACAACTGAGTACAACAGAACACACCTTCAGTTCCAGCTACTAGGAAGCTAAAGTGGGATGACTGCTTTGGTCCAGGAGTTCAAGACCAGCCTGGGCAACATAATGAGACCTTTTCTCAAAACAAAAACAAAAGGGTAACAAATGAAAGATCATAAGAAAGCCTCCTATTGCAATCCTCTTTCCTCTGCCTCCTTTGTGGCTGGGATTATAGATGTATCACCATCACATTTTCTTTTTTATGCTGGTCCTGGGGCTTAAACTCAGGGCCTAACACGATCCTTGAGCATTTTTGCTCAAAACTAGCACTCTACTACTTGAGCCACAGTTCCGCTTTTGGCTTTTAATTGAACATAAAGAGTCTCATGGACTTCTTTGACTGGCTGGCTTCAAACTGTGATCCTTAGATCTCTGCCTCCTGAGTAGCTAGGATTACAGGTATAAGCCACTGGTGCTTTTTTTAGAGGCAGGTGTTTTTTTTTTTTGGGGGGGTGGAGGGTGGGGCTTGAACTCTGGGCCTGGGCGCTGTCCCTCAGCTCTTCAGCTCAAGGCTAGCACTCTACCACTTGAGCCACGGTGCCACTTCTGGCTTTTTCTGCTTATGCGGTGCTGAGGAATTGAACCCAGGGCCTCATGCAAGCAAGGCAAGCACTCTACCACTGAGTCACCTTCCCAGCCCTGAGACAGGTTTTTACTCAGGCTGGTCCCAAACAGACCTTTCTACCATCACCTGCTAAGCAGATGCAATTACATGCATGAACTACTATGCCCAGCCCCACCAAAGTCTAATTCAGAAGATGTTCCAGAAAAGTAAAATCTGGGAGCTGAAGGTTAAAATTAAAACCAGAAGTCTATCATGGCAGATTCTTACATGTTCAACAACTCTGTTCTTCAAGTCTTTCCACCTTTTTTCACCTTCCTCTGTAGACGCAAACACATCAGTGGCAGGGCTCTCCAGAGAGCCTTTCCTTAACTCCATCCCGTAGTCCTCAACAAGAGTAGACCAGCGCATCAGCTCCATTGTGGTGAAAAGCTTTAAAAGATCCCTGCAAATTACATACAACTCAATTCTACAAGTCTGTAAGAAGTAGCACCGAATATAGGTTTAACATTTCTAAAGCAAAAATCTTAAGTCTGAAACATTCTAAGTGCCAGTGTGACAATTGTCTACACGACTGCATGAGCTTGGAGACAGTTGCGCTGAGTTGACAGCTCTGAGTAAGACAGGCATCAACGATGGCCGCGAGAAACTCAGAGCCAGGCCAGTGGCACGGCAGTGTGATGGTCAGGTGCAGCAGCCAGTGTCCCCAACAGCTACTAAACGAGCGTAAGCCTCACGCTGGAGGCACACATGACTTACACTTGGGGTCCATCCCTAAGAGATCATGTTACATACATACAGGAAAATACCACAAGTCTGAACACACAAATCCACAGCTAGAAGCCCTTCTTAAGTCCAGCACCACCTCAGCCAAGCACTATCAGACTGTGGCATAGTGCATTTCAAAACCGACAGGCTAGGGGCTGGGAAGGTGACTCAGTGGTAGAGCGCTTGCCTTGCATGCCTGAGGCCCTGCGTTCGATTCCTCAGCACCACATAAGAAAAAAGCCAGCCGTGGCGCTGTGGCTCAAGTGGTAGAGTGCTAGCCTTGAGCTGAAGAGCTGAGGGACAGCGCCCAGGCCCAGAGTTCTGGCCCCACGACCAGACCAAAAAACAAACAAACAAAAAAACCCCCCGACAGGCTGTTTATGTACTTTGGTAGAATAAGACAGATTCCATTCTGGCTCATGGGCTTTCCCACCATCTCCACCTACTACAGTGATCGCAAGTGAATTCTCCTGCTTAAAAAAGCTGGGCTCCCCTGTACCTTATCTGACAATCTATAAAGTAACTGTTCAGACGCTAATGCAGCAGACAGAAGAAAACAGCTCTTAAAAATAACTCACCACGCTTATCATGAAGCATGTTTGTTTCATCTATGAAAACAAGCTTTCAGAAGCCTATTACTCCCCCAATCACCAAATACTAACCATTACTGATATAGCTTTTGTAAATGCTTAATCAAGCTCCTAAATGGGCATTGCCACAATATGTGTACTTGATGTGTGGTTTAGAATAAAGTATATAAAATCTCATTATAGAATTTTTTTTTGTTTTGTTTTTGTTCGGTCATGGGGCTTGAACTCTGGGCCTGGGCACTGTCCCTCAGCTCTCCAGCTCAAGGCGAGCGCTCTACCACTTGAGCTACAGCGCCACTTCCGGTTTTCTGGTGGTTTATTGGAGATAGGAGTCTCACGGTCTCTCCTGCCCGGGCTGGCTTTGAACCGCGATCCTCAGATCTCAGCCTCCTGAGTAGCTAGGATTACAGGCGTGAGCCACCAGCGCCCGGCCTTTTTTTTTTTTTTGGTCAGTCGTAGGGCTTGAACTCTGGGCCTGGGCACTGTCCCTCAGCTCTTCAGCTCAAGGCTAGTGTTCTACAACTTAAGCTACAGCCCCACTTCCGGTTTTCTGGTGGTTTTTTGGAGATAAGAGTTTCAGACTTTCTTGCCCAGGCTGGCTTTGAACCATGATCCTCAACTCTCAGCCTCCTGAGTAGCTAGGATGACAGGCGTGAGCCACCAGTGCCCGGCTTCATTATAGAATTTTTTTTGAACAATTAAACACATCTCACCACTTCCTTTATAGTCTTCCACAATCTTGCTAGGATGGTGCTGCTTCTGAGACACAAGACAACGCATGCGCACTTACTTGTATTTGGGAATTTCTTCCAACTTCTTGTCACTACTGATCCGGTGAACCAAATCTGACTGTTCGTTGTCAAAAGGAGCCAGGATGACATAGAGAACAACGCTTTTCAGAGCCTAAAGAAAGTGTACAACACAGTACTTATGTGTGGTTAGAAACAAAAGTGCTTGCTTTGGCAGCACACACTAAAATTGGAGCAATCCTTGCCCGAGCCAGGATGACGCGCAAATTCGTGAAGCATTCCATATTTTTTAATAATAAAAGTTAACGTTTGTACAATTCATATATAATAAACAATTTAGGATGGCCAAAAAAAAAGAAAAAAAAACATAAGGGAACTTGGGCTAGAATTGGGAAGCTGTGGAGAAAATGCATACATTTCTCTTAATTTTGTATTACAAAAAATCTTAGGAGAAAGATATTAAAACTAGTACAGAAAATAAGTTGAACTACTGCCAGTTGATTCCTGGGGCTTGAACTCTGGGCCTGGACTGTCCTTGAGCTTTTTTTGCTTAAGGCTAGCTCTCTACCACTTGAGCCACAGTACCACTTTTGGCTTTTTTGAGTAGTTTATTGGAAATGAGTCTCACAGGCTTTCCTGCCTGGGCTGGCACTGGGCTCCAGCTGGTAGAATGTGGCTTAGTGGTAGAGTGTTTGCCTAGCATGCATGAAGCCCTGGGTTCCATTCCTCAGTGCCACATACACAGAAAAAGCAGGAAGTGGCACTGTGGCTAAAGTGGAAGAGTGCTAGCCATGAGCCAAAGAAACTCAGGGACAGTGCCCAGGCCCTGAGTTCAAGCCCCAGGATTGGCAAAGGAAAAAAAAAATTCTTGACAAAGTTCTTGCTAACATAATTATCAGCATAATTATGTTATAGCAACTTAAGCACAGCATGCTTTTTTTGCGATCTGGTCTTGCTCTGTAGCACAGGCAGCCCTCCAGCTTGCTATCCTCCTGCCTTAGCCCCAATCAAGTGCTTTGATTACAGGTGTGCACCACTTTATCTGGTTTCTCCAAGACCTTTCTGGAGTGACACTGAATCTTATCTGAACCCTGCGTTAGTGGATGACCTGGTGTACACGGTACACAGTAAGCCTCCATCCCTAACTAAAAGAACTGCCCAGGCAGTGCAGTAGTCAAGGCCTATTGAAAACCCCCACAATGCAGAGAGAGATAATGAGTATAGTTCCAAGGAGACACAAGCAAGCAAACCCGCGGTCCCACAAGGCTGCGCGCTGGTTAGAGTGCACTCACCTGCTGCCATTTCTCACTTTCCGCCTGTATGCATGGAGTGTCATAGATGGCTCTGTAGTGCTTACAAATAGACAGGTAAGATCCCTCATGCTGGTCTAGCTGAATCATTAGGTTGTAGTATTTCAACTTCAAGTTCTGAAAAATAGTTGACAAGCTTAACTAAGTTTAGGAGTTTTACTCCAATGCTTTCAAAGTAAATATGTAACCGGTGATATGCTCACCTCTGTATTCTCTTCCTGGAAAAACTTGGTATTGATTTTCTTGCTGATGATTTGCGTGCGAATGTAATCCTTCACAGCCAGGCAGAGCCTCATCTGCTCCAGAATAAACTCCACTCGCTCTTTTTTTTCCATTGACCCGTAAGTTTCCACCTAGCAGAGTAATTCCCAAATAAATACTAGGAACTCTTTGAATTACAGTGAAATTAAAAACATTAAAACAGGCTCCCTTGGGCTGGGAAGATGGCTCAGTGGTAGAGCGCTTGCCTTGCATGCATGAGGCCCTGGGTTTGATTCCTCAGCACCACATAAGCAAAAAGAAAAAAGCCG